AAATATTCAATGGCGAGTGGCTCTTCCTTTGAGACTTTCTGCCACATGACCTCAACTGATTCGTACACAGAGACATATCGATAATGTTAAATCACTTGGTGCATGCAGTGTGAAAACGGGCTGGGCCAATTATATGACAATGACTGGCATTCGTCCCATATTAAAGGCATTTATCCACTTCAACAACCTTTTCACCAAAGCTATCATCCCTTTCCATAAACCATTTCAGAATTTATCATGTTTTTATGCCCTCCTACCAACAAATTGTATTACTGTACATTACTCTTCTATGGAGCTCATTGCTTAAAGACTTTACCATTCTGCTTGAAATGCCCTTCACATTGACTGTTGGGGTATGCCACCTGTTCTCAAAGCCTGTTTCTTTCATAAAGTTTCAAATGCTGGAGTGTTCAGTTTGTGTAATATTTTTGAATTTGCTGATACTTTTTGGATCATCTACATAAGTAAGAAAATAAGACTTACACTAGTTGCACTGTATTTTCCATGTTATTCCTAAAGAATTTTCAATATACTCTGTTTCAAAGAATCAGTCAAAATTTATCTCTTTGCCCGGTTCCATTGGTCTCTTCCTCGATTTCGTAACTTATGAAGAATGGAACATCAAGCAATTTAAGAAACCCTTCATAGAGAAGCTCGAAAGCTGTAAATTAAAATGCACCCTACCTTGTGAACTTATCAATGGTGCCGAGCTGCAATTTTGTACCAGGAAGTGGCCATTGAGTTGCCCGGCAGAGCAGTCGCTGGCGCCAGCAGGGTGCGGACCATGACATGCCAGCTGTGGTCCAAAATGCAGAGCCGACACGGAGCCCCAGCTACTAGTGCTGCTGCTCCCGCCACAGCCGCTGCTACCACTGCAACCGCTTTGGCCACCAGGGCCGTTCGGCAGACTGCCGCCACAACCTCCACCACTGTGTTGAGAGAGTTGTTGTTGTTGCTGCTGCTGCTGCTGCTGCTGCTGTTGCTGCGTTGAATCTGAGCAGGGAAAGTGTAGCAACCGGCTGCCCGCAGCCATCCTGTCTTCGAGATGACGCAGCCACTGAGTCAAAGATCTGCAAAAGACAAAGAAAAAAGTGAACTCACGATGTTACTTTAATTGTCTTGTGAGAAGATGCACTGGACCAAATATTATAGGTATGGTTCGTGTAATGATGATGATGATATGGTATGTATTAAGGTCCAGTGGTCATGGAAGCAAGGTAGCATTACAATACTTTGTAAGAAAGATGCTTCCAGTAACATAAAACGCAAACTTGCTATTGAAATATTTTGTTTCAATTCATACATTTATTAACGAAGTATGTAGCAATAAGTAAAAGATTTTAAAAATATGTAATTCAACCAAAATATGTACATTAAACATTTCTCTAATTTGTTGAGTTCTTGTAAACTCTACAAGATATTATTGAATGCAGGTACCTTGTTTTCAAAAAAAAAATGTGTATTTACAAAAAAATCCATTTCCTAGTAATGACCATTTCCGTCTGTCCCGTTTGCTTTACCTGCGATCATCGTTGCTGATGGCGGGGTGGATGAGACTGTAGGACAGCAGCTGCCGAGCCTCTTCTATGTGAGCACCAGTCTCCACAGAGTGACTCAGCACCTGAACCAGTGACAGACAGGCACAGATTAAACACCTTTACATTCAGCACCAAGGGGGGGAAGGGGGCAGCACCAATACAAAAATCTATGATAAATAAATTGTGAGTACTTCACGATCATTCATAATTTATTTAAATTTAAATATGCAATAGAGACCTTTAAATTTTTGCAAGAGAAATTCCCTTTTATATTATTTCAAGCAATTCATCCTTATGCTTGTAAATTAAACTAAATAAAAAAATAAATTTGGACGATTTTAGACATGATAATCATTATGAGTTATCCATTATAGGATGCATTGTCTGTGTATAATTTGAATAATTGAATAATTTCATGGATAATTAATGAAGTGTTTATAGGATTAGAATACAAATAGGTCAATAATGTCTTTACCAACTGTTTCTGTTCGAAATATTGGTAAAGACCTCATTAAGAACAACATGACAGACCAATCCACTCGTGAAATTTCAGCAAATAATATGCAACAAATAAGACCACACAAACAAATCAGAGATGAATTCTGTAAACTAATCATTTCTTCATAACCACTTCCTTGGAAGCGGCAATTATTGTTGCTCTTTGTTTACAGAGAGAAGCACAATTTGCCCATAACTACACACGGCATATTAAAATACCTATCATATAATCTTACTATTTGCCAATTTACTACTATTTGCTATTTTCTTTCCTCCCACCAGGGGTCGAACGTTTGTCAAATATAATTTTTTTTTTTTTGTGACTAGCTGTTTGATAAAGTACCTTGTGCACTACATCCAGGTAGCGCGACTTTGCCTCGTAGTTGCCAGGCCTCAACAATGGCAGATGAAGCAGCAGCTGTTCCAGAGCAGTTTCCTTAGTCTCGGCCAAAAGACTCCCCACAAATCCTGAACAAATTAAACGCAGTCTTTTAAAGAATGAGAACAATACAAATAGAAAAAAAACACACATATTCATCGATAACAATTATTCTTAGCATGCAGTGTAAAAGTTCTGCAATTTTTAAGTCGCAATCCTTTTAAAAATGAAAACAGGAATAGTCATACTGGAACCCCTCTTCGAACTTTTGAAAGAAACCATGCTGTGGAATGGGGAACCTTCTTTGGAAAGCTAAAAGAATGTTCAAAAAGGTATTCTATTGTAGACTGCAGCATAATAAACATAACAGACCTCAAAATAATAAAATTAAAAACCCATACAAGTACAATTGGCCCTAAGGGGTTATGGTTCGCTGAATCCATAGGGTACAATGGTAATGTATTTTGCTGCAGGTTAGACAAGCACCTATTATTGACCTTGTTTTCTATTCTGCAAACTTTAATCCCCCCCCCTCCCCGTCCTTAAATCAGTTAGATGAATTTTGTTTTTGTAGTGTCCTAACTATTGTACAAAATTATCTTTCTTTAGTGTAAAGGAGGTTATTTCCTATATTTCAACTGCAGTGTTAACTCTTCTGAACTTCTTTATAATGCAAAGATTGTGATATAGATATTTCTACAGATTTGTTAATATAAATGATATGCAAGGTAAATGAATTCCGTTTCTCCATACATCAAACATTCTCTATTGTGAAAGAAATTACTAAGTCCTTGCCTTCAGTTATAAACTAAATGTCATGGCTTGCAAATTTGTATTTTTATTAATTTCTATTTAATATTCAAAATTTGAGCTCAGGTAAGATTATTACATTTTATGGTGCAGTTAAGATACATTATGTCTTCTGACGGTCTAGTATCTGACATGAAGCAGATCCACTAGTGAATAATGAATTATTTGTTATCTTTCTATTCAGTAGCAGATTAGCAAGGAGAATAATGTATTGACATGCAATGTTAATTTGTTTACTTCTTCTGTTTTATTTGCCTTGGGGAGTCATCTAGTTTATACAATGATATATGTGTTTGTATTTGTAATAACATGTTTGAATTATTTTACCAGGCTATTATGAATACAATCTGGTTACAATGCTACTTATGGACGTAGCCTGGCTAGCTGGAACTGGGTCAATGACACCTATTTGAGAATTAATTCTTTTAGAATTAAAAGAAATTCTTTAAAAGTTAATATTATAGTCATAAAAGTTGAAGTATAATAGACATTTTATTACAATATGAAATTGACGATCAATTAAGCACTGTAATAAGATTTTATTATACAAATATTGCATGTTTTATCTGTATTATAAAACTTCCTATAACTACAATTTTTTATTAAATATGTTATTGCACTAATCTATTTATTCTGGACATGGTTAGATGGATGTAGCAAGGAGGCTATGAAGTATTATAACACTGTGTAATAATGGTTTGGTACCCGTTTTGTCAAGTTTAACTTTATGTTACTGAAGTGGGTAAAAACATTACACAAAGTAATTAAGAGTATTCAAATATTGTATTTTGTACAGCAGCATTATAAATAACTTTTTTCCTGGCATGAAATCCTACAAAAAAAATGGCATTTTATGGCACAGATTAGGACATAATAGTGATTATATTGCAAAGAACTGCAGCTTCACACAATCAGTCAGTTGCAATGAGTAAAGAGGCCACGACAAACCACAGCAGAGCGAAACTTGGGGAGCTGCATAGCAAGATGAGAAATAACCATTAAGTCAAAGTTGTTTCGAAAAATTCCATTAGATTCTCTTACACTTTTATAATTCTGTTGCAGAAAAACAATGTACACAACACTTTTGTAATGTTGCTTTATTGTATTTGTACAAATTTGAAAACTCGCTCCTGAAGTAGCAAAAAGTAAGTGAAGCAGTTTACAAAAATTGTACTTACACAGCAAAGCCTAACATTATTAACTAGTGGGGTAACAACCTATGCTATTACACAGTGTTATTTACTTTTCATAATACTGTACTATTAATTGGAGAAATGAAAAGGTACTCTTAACAACTGGCTGTCTGTTATGAACATTTGAAACAAATTAATTTTAGAATAATTATTCCAAGAAATGGTATACAGTGTGTTATTAATTATCATAGCATTAAACAATTAATAATTTTAGCACTAAATAATTATGGGCGTGTGTGCATGTGGTTGGTGACAGGGTGGCCACTTCTTTTCTGAAACAAATTTCCCTGACTTTCCTCCCCTCCCCCCCCATAACATTTAAAAATATCCAATGACAACATTTTTAGAATATTTCACATTACTCCAAGAAAATATTAACGCATGCCTTAAACTACCTTTTAAGCACTCTGGTTTCACCTTGATAAAAAACAACTAAATTAAAAAAAAAACCTCAATAAAGATAGGAATTTAACAAAAAATAATGCTGTACTATTTTTTTAGAAATAAAACTAGATATTATTTTATCTCAAAATCTTCCCCATGCTTAAACGATTCTTTCACAATTCCCCTGATTTTCCACAGCAAATGAAATCCCCCCCCCCATTTTCTGCCCCTTCCCTGAGCAACGAACTTTTCTACTGTGCCTGGTGCCCCGCGCATGCGTGCGTGCGTGCGTGCGTGCTCGTGCTCACCCGGGTTGTTGGCCTGGTGCTCGTGCAACTGCAGCTCCGAGCAGTCGGCCAGGCTCTGGTCGAGGGCGACGGCGAGGAAGCGCGCCTTGGCCGGCGCCAGCCGCTTCAGCAGCGAGTACAGCGCCACCGTCTGCTCGCACTCGTTCCACTGCTCGAACCAGGCGGCGATCGTGTTCACCTGCGCCCACGCGAAGCCATATGCCGGGGATGGACAAGGGCCGTTCGCCACGCGCTTGCGGAACCGTTTTGTTTGTAAAGGTTACACACACTTGGGCTTTAAAAAAAAGTTTATTCCCTTTGTCACGAGAAAGTAGTTGTGACACTTTAAAGTCACCTTTACGAAACTGAAAATAACGCCGTAATAGTTATGATCAGGGCTCGGATTTTGATGACCTAAAAATTACCTATAAAGTGACTTGAAAATAAGAGAAAAATGGCTCCTTCATTTTACACGTGTACATCGTTTCGTTCAGAAGTTTCTCATTAGTGCCTCCGTTTTGATAGTCAAACAAAGGCGATATTAAAATAACACACTATCTCTGACAATGGATCATGAGAAAATGCGAGCTTATTGTACAGTGGGAAACAAATTTAGCACCCAATCTTCGGAAAGCGACATCAGGGGCCTATATCACACAATTTGGAATGTATGAGAAAAAAGAACCAATGATGATGCGTTGTTTGAGCCAGACATTTTGAGAAATGTCTGAATTCATTATACTGAATTGATTCCCGAACATTTGGAATAAATCGCTACTGTCTTTTATATAAAAAAAACTACTGATTTCGCGTTTGTTTATCGTACTTAACACTTAGACAAGACAATGAATTCTATTCACAGAATACCCCCGTCGTATCCTGTCATGCATTGGCCTGCCCCATCCTTCCCGATACCCCCCATCGTCATTCCACCCGACCGCGCACGACGCCCTATCAACACTGCCTCCGCGGGCGACGGCGCGCCGCGGGCCGCCACGACGACGCGAGGAGGAGGAGGACAGAGGACGGACGACGCGCGCGCGCTTCGCCCGCAGCCGCAGCCATGTTCGGAGACAGGTGAGCTCTCGCCCCCTCTACTTCTTAGTCCTCTTTCGCTACCTTACTTCCTCGACCTACCCTTTCACCCTGTCACTCCCAGTTCGACACTCGTCGCGTCTTTTACCCTCCCCGTCAGCGTCTTTACCCTCCGTCGCCGTCTTTGCCCCCGTCGCCGTCTTTGCCCTCCCCGTCGCGTCTTTGCCTCCACCCGTCGCCGGTCTTTAGCCCTCCCTCGCATCGCTGTCTTTACATACCCGTTCCGCTGTCTTTACCCCTCCCACGTTCCCTGTCTCTCTACCGCTCCCCGATCGCTTGTCTTGTCCCATCCACCGTCGCGTGTGCTATATCCCGCCCTAGCGCATGTCTATATAGCCCTCCCCGTCGCCAGTCTATTGACCCTCCCCGTCGCTGTCTTTACCCTTCCCCTCGCTGTCTTTACCCTCCCCGTCGCTGTCTTACCCCGCTCTCTTCCCTCCCGTCGCTGTCTTTACCCCCCGTCGCTGTCTTTACCCGCGCGTCGCTCGTCTTTACCCTCCCCGTTCGTCTCGTCTTTACCCTTCCGTCGCTCCTTTACCTCCCGATCGTGTCTTTACCCTCCCGTCGCTCTATCGTCTTTACCCTCCCCGTCGCTCGTCTTTTACCTCCCCGCGCTCTCTTTACCCTCCCACGTCGCTCGTCTTTACCCTCCCGTCGCTTCGTCTGTTTACCCTCCCGTCGGCTCGTCTTACCCTCCCGCTCGCTCGTCTTACCTCCCGTCCTCGTCTTTACCTCCGTCGTCGTCTTTAACCCTCCGTCGCTCGTCTTTACCTCCCGTCGCTCGTCTTTTACCTCCCGTTCGCTCGTCTTATTCTACCCTCCCGTCGGCTCGTCTTTACCCTCCCCGTCGCTCGTCTTTACCCCCGTCGCTCGTCTTTACCCTCCCGCTTCGATGTCTTAACCCTCCGTCGCTAGTCTTTACCTCCCGTCGCTGTCTTTACCCTCCACCGTCGCTCTCTTACCTCCCGTCGCTCGTCTTTTACCTCCCGCTCGCTGTCTTTACCCTCCCGTCGCTCGTCTCTTACCCTCCCGTCGGCTCGTGTTACCTCCCCGTCGCTCGTTCTTTAGCTCTTCTTTTTCAGTTTTAACTTCTCTGATGGGAAAGACATGATGGCTCGCTTACATTCAGGGTTGAGGAAAGCCGAATAGACCTGTGCGGTGGTAATGCGAATGCGGAGGTATCGAAGGATGGGGCAGGCAATGCATGACAGGATTTACGACGGGAGGGTTATTCTGTAATAGATTCTTGTCTTGTCTAGTGTTAGTACGATAAACAAACGCAAATCAGTAGTTTTTTTTTATATAAAAAGACAGTAGCGCATTATTCCAAATGTTCGGAATCAATCAGTTATAATGAATTCAGAATTTCTCAAAATGTCTGCTCAACAACCGCATCATCATTGTGTCTTTTTTCTCATACCATTCCAAATTGTGTGATTAATAGCCCCTGATGTCCGCTTTCGAAGAATTGCGGATGCTAAATTTGTTTCCACTGCTACAATAAGCTCGCATTTTCTCATATCAATGTCAGAGATAGTGTGTTATTTTAAGGATCGCCTTTGTTTGGAACTAATCAAAAACGGAGTGCACTAATGAGAAACTTCTGAAATCGAAAACGATAGTACACGGTAAAATGACAGACCATTTTTCTCTTATTTTTCAAGTCAACTTTTAGTAATTTTTAGGTCACGCAGATAT